GTTGTTGGCTTCGCAGAAGGCGCTTAGACGGTTGGTGATGATCTTGATGGGGACCTTGCCTACGTGAGATAGTAGCGAAATCCCCCTGTAGTTGTTACAGTTGGACCGGTCACCCTTCTTGTACAGCACCTTGATGGTTGCATCCTTCCACTCTCGCGGAATATCTCCTCCGTTGCACACCTTGACGACGATGGAATGGAGGTGCCCCAGGACGAAGGGTTCGTCGTCATCGATCTTGAGCAACTCGGCAGGGAGGGAGTCATGGCCGGTTGCCTTCCAATTCTTGAGGCCTTTCGTTGCCCGTTCCACCTCCTCGAGTTCAGGGACCTCTCCCAACCGTTGAGTGTCACGTGTCGCTGGCCGCTGCGTCACTCGTTCGATTATCTGTGGGTTCAGGGTGGGGGATTTGGTGTTGAGTAGGGTGCTGAAGAATCTCGCCCACCGCTGGAGGATGTCGTCCCTGTTCCGGAGCAACACGCCGTTCTCATCCGTGACGAACTGCTGTCCCCCCGCTTGTCTCCCGCTGGGGCCCACTGATCTCTTGAGGTGCCGGTACAGTCCTCGCATGTCGCGTTCGTTGTAGATTGCTTCGAGTTCAGTCACATATCCGTCCAGGTGGGCAGAAATGCCCGTTTCGACTGCTGTAGCCACTCCCTTACACGCTGCTTTGAGAACCCTCCACGTCGCTGAGTTCCAATTGCCCCTAATCGCTCGGCGCGCTTCCCGCCGTTTGGTAAGGGCTTTCCTCCAGCGCTGCTCTCGTCTCACCACTCCTGCGTGCGGCGTTTCCGCGGTTCCTCTCCTAGGGTCGTCCGCGCTGCTTCGAGGAGAGCATTGGTAAAGTTGGTCGCCAATTCCGCGGCGGTGGTTGTTCGCTCGTCCAGTCGTGTGTCAAGGTTGAGGAGGAACCAATTAGTCACCGCACACCGTGCTGCTTCGAACTGCAATTCCCGTCGGTTGAATTGCTTCTGTTTCGGTTTAATCCGGACTGCACGGTTGTGGGCAAGCCTGCCACCGAGGTTGACGGTGGCTACTACCATACTGTGGTCTGAGTCTGCTTTGACTGGGCGAACCGGCTGGGTGAGGACAACCACGTTAGATACTCGGCCGTGATGTGCCTGCCCTGTCAGGATGTAGTCAAGGCGCTTGCAATCGGTTCCCGACACACCGTTGTATGTGTGCCATATTCCGCCCTTGTGTGTCTCAAAGAACGAGTTCGTGAGAGCTAATTCGCCTGTTTTCCGTTGCGAAGTTGAACAGTAGTATTCCATTGTCGTTGAGCGCATCACGCCCGTACATTCCTATCACCCTTCCGTCCCCTCCGTCCAACCTATCTCCCGTCCGCGCATTGGCGTCCATCAGGACATACACACACTCTTTGGAAGGGATCCTCCGCACGAGACTGTCAAGTTTTCCCCAGAACACGCGCTTGCTGTCGGCGGTTGAAGCTCGGTTGGAGCATACGCGGTTACGAAGTTGACCGCTTCACGGTGGCCTGCCAACATAAACCTCATGGCCATAAGGCGTTCGTCTGTGTATTCATTTGCAAGGCTTAGTGGTTATGACGGTCAGGAGGGTTGTGTTTCTCCGGCGTTCCTCGCAGAATCGAGTCTCCCCAAGGCCAGCCTGACCGCAAGGAGGTTGCCATTATCACGAACGGGTGAGCTTAACTCCGTGGCTAGATGGTTTCTGCTGCGGACAGGCTGCCGGTGTACAGCCGGAGGTTGATGATTAACTGATGTTCATGTCCATTACCATAGTGCAAAGGGACAACAAGGTCATCATCATGACCAATAAAAATCAGCTCGGTGATGTTCAACGACCCCGCCGTCGGTGGCATGCTGTAACGGGCTCACCTGCTGGCAGTATTGCCTTTAGTACGGTAGTCTCTGGTTTAGGGTTTGCTAATTTGGATACACTTCTGTGTCCGCTGCAGGTGGCAAAGGCATCTACATATTTTATGGAATGTGAATGCTGCCACAGAAACCTGCTTCACCAATCGGAATAGGTTCAACCTTCTCCGAACGAATAAGTCTATGGGTTCTATATCTGTGCGTGCTCTAAAGAGCGCCGGCGGGCAGTTAAGTGTGCAAGTTTCCTCTTGACGTTGCTGGTTGGACGCGTGCTGCACCTTACCTTCTTCGTCAGGGAGTCGATATGATACGGTAGTCCAATCGTCAACAGGAGGGTTGGTGAAACAACAAGTTGATTGATGATATCCCCAGGGCGTGCAACCTCGTGCAGACCTGAGTCTCTCGACGGCCGAGTAAACAGGTACAATATTTTGGCTACAAGGCCTGGGCTCTAGCCTCGAGGGAGACCTCCCCACTGTTCAAGTGATATATAGATAGGGTAGATGGGATAGCTAGGATAGGGAAAATATTCTTGAGCCACGGAAGGAACGATTGGCCATCGGTGATCGGTCTTGTGGGAACAATGCACCGTCCTCTCGAGGACGCATGGTCAATGGTCTAACAACAAAGGCATGCAAACTATGAGTACGCCCCCGTCTCCCCCCCTTTGGGGTCGGCGTACGACAATATGTAAGCCAACCTGGGGATAAGCATCGAACACCCCGAAACCCTCCACTCCGTCCATTTGACGTTTCAGGTGTCTTGCCGCTAATACCCTGGGTCGCTACGCGAAGAAGTGCGCTTGCTTGTGTTCCAGAGCGCTTCCGGGACGGTGGGCTGGTCCGGCTCATTTCATCCGCTTCCTCCTGCAGAATGAAATACGAGTGTCCAACAGCGCCAAAAAGCTAACTCGAACTGCTTTCTTTTTTGCTTTTGACTTGCTTGATCAGACGTCCTTTTGAGGCGGAATTGATAAGGGTACTCACTTCATTGACACGTACATGCAAAGGAGGGAGTTCATTTGGGCTTTTTTGCTCTTCTTTGTTTTCTTGTGCACGAGTTGCAGCACTCCAGGTGAAACAAAGAGTTGAAAGAGCACCTGTGTTTCAAGCTTCGATCGGCTTCGTGATACGCAACGCAACCAAACCGTTTGTGCGTGTGTTTGGGATGTTCGCGCCATTATTCGGGGTCGAAGGAAAGTTCTTGTTCACGTAGTAGATGATGAACGTGCTCCCCAAGCAAACTAACGCGCTTTCCAAGTTTCAGATTCCCCCCCTCTGGCAAGAACTGTGAACTTGGTGTTCGTGCCGCGAGTGAATCAAAAGTGGGCGTTCTCTTCAAACGCGTTGTAATGACTCCCTCATATGTGTTCTCCAACAGTATTACGGTTGTTCATATCGTATACGCGCGTTGGGGAGGGGTGTACTCATAGTCGTGCATGCCGTAGTCGTTAGACCATTGACCTCGCATCCCTACAAAGCCGGGACGGAGCACGCCGGGTTCTCACCGGACAAGGCTCTCACATCACCAAACACGAAGCGCCGTGAGGTATTCTGCGAGTCGCATGAAGGGTGCGCTGCATCCTGCTATGGGTGTTCGGCATCTTGTGCTTACTTCCTTGCGTACGGATTATTAGGATGATCCGAACTGGGGGTAGCTTGTCGCAATACGTGTGTTGAATAGGGTGTCGGCAACTCGGCGAACTCGCGCCAAGGAGGAAAGCTGTGTAGGGTTTGTTGCATAAACTTCTTCGTCACATGAACTCTCATGAACTCACATGAACTCACATGAACTCACATGAACTGAACGCACGCGTGCACGCACCACCATGAGGGGCGACGCAGTATTCAACAGGGGTACCTTGCACACCCTGAAAATACATTCCACGTACCACACAATCCTACAACCACTTGGCATTGCTACAAGTATATCTATCAGGCCCCCTGCTTATGACCATGCCATGTCTTTTTCGATCCTAAATAACTCCAGAACACAAGCAAATATTAATAATATCAGAAACTCAATTCAACTCCAGAGCAATAGCCTCACTGGCTAGACAACAATAACCATCCCCGATCATACCAGTTATACTTCTTCGAACTTCAGTGAAGTAGTTGCCCCCCAGCCTGGAACATCATCCATTGAGAAAAACCATAGGCAAAAATGTAAAATGTTGCCACCCCACCCAGTTGATTGATCACACACAAAATAAATCCAAACACCAATACTTCCTTCATCACATCCGCAAGAGAGGCATACTCCGCCTCTGTCGTGCTCAACGTGACGCACTTCTGGGTCCTTGAAAACCAAGAAATACACCCCCCCACACACATCACCAATCCCCCTGACACAGACCTCCTATCGGCAGCTTTTCTTGCACAGTCTGCGTCTGCAAACACCTCCATGCTCAACCTTGCTACACTACCCCTCCTGAATGTAATACCCAAGTCACTTGTCCGTACCACATACCCTAAAATACCAAGCCCTGCTCTCCAATGAATTTCTTTGGGAGAGGCACAGTACCGTTCTACCGCTCTTACTGCATTCGCGATATCTGGTCTCGTTTGCGTTGCCAGCCACATCAATGATCCTATCAGCCCACGAAAAGGCCATGATACCACTTCCTCATCCTGGTCAAACTCTGAAAGCTTCAACCCTACAGGAAGAGGAATTTCCTTCCCGTACTCTACCCCAAACTCCATCCCCAACTCTTCAGCGTACGTCTGCTGCGAGATCTTCAAAGTCCCTGCATCCCAATCTCTCTCATACAAACATCCAGAGTACCATCTCAAGTCCCCAAGATTCTTCACAGGTACCATGGTGTTGAGGTCCCTGCCAAACTGGTCACACCTCTCCTCCTCTCCTATCGAAAATATAAAATCTACATGTACCACCAGAGTCACTACCACTCTTCCCTCCTCAATCAACCGAAACACACACGTATCCGCCATGCACTGAATAAAACCCAAACAAATCAAACACCTCGCCAAGTGTGAATGCCACTGCCTTGATGCCTGCTTAAGGCCATACAGACTCTTGTTCAACTTCACGATCATACCTGACAATCTACCACACCCCTCTGGCAGACGCATGAATACATCCTCATCCAAATCCGACTGGACAAATGCTTGCTTGATGTCAAAATGACGGAGAGAAAGATTTTGCTCACACGCCATCGCTGCCAACAAGCGAACGCTAGAAACCGCTACAGTCGGTGCATACGTCTCTCCACAATCTACATGTACTCTCTGCATATCTCCTCTCGCTACGAGCCGTGATTTCACATTGGTTGGCCATCCATACTCGTCAGACTTCCAATCAAACACCCACTTCGCCTTGATAACACTTTCTGGTTGCTACATTACTTCCTCAAAGGTACCAGCCTCCATAAGACCTCTGAACTCCTTCTCTACAGAGTGTATCCACAAGTCAGCATGTTGAGAGGACACAGCCTCCCTATACGTTTTGGGCACACGCAAGTCGCTCGCGTAGCACTGTGGCAAGTCCGGTGCCACTTCCGGGGGATCTAAATCCATCATCGCGCGATCAATGTCCTCGCGGGAGGCAAGCAAGGTGGCGCACGCAAATGGGACTTCTTCACGCAGTCCTTCTTTTTTCGTGCCCCCCCGCTCTCGCCCCCCCGGCTCCGCTCCATCACGTCCTCCGGCTGAACTCGGGATCTCCTTCCTCCCCCCATCGACGATGCTGCGAGTGGTTAGAGTCGACAGGAGCGTTGCCTTGTCCTGCAGGGATACAAGCCCGAAGCGGTGGGCGAGAGCGTCGCCGCTCCCGCCAGGTGACGTCGACCGCTCGGCCCCCCCATCCTGAAAACGCACCCGCCGACCCCTCAACCTCCCTGGCACCCGCGTCTCTCGTCCCAAGCCCAGCTCTCGATTGGCCCTGGCAGAGAGGGGCGGCATTGACGACGCCCGCCCCCCCCCCTGGTCCTTAGCGGCTGCCCTCGTGCGCCCAGAAACCCTCATGTCGGCGCGCCCCACGTCCAGTTCACGGATGGTCCTCGTAGTGAGCGGCGGCATGTTGGTGGAAGGCGCGGCACCGGGCGGCACGGCGGCGGGAGACGGTGTTACTGACGGTGCAGCGGCGGTGGTGAACGGTGAGGCCGGAGGCGAGGCGGCAGTGGTGAACGGTGTCGCGGCGGCGAACGGCGGTGCAGGCGGCGCGGTGGTGGTGAACAGTGGCGCTGGGGCGAGCGGCGTTGCAGGCGGCGCGGTGGTGGTGAATGGTGGCGCGGCGGCGAACGGCGGTGCCGGCGGCGCGGTGATGGTGAAAGGTGGCGCGGCGGCGAACGGCGGTGCAGGCGGCGCGGTGACCGGTGGCGGTGGTGTGGCTGCGGTAGGCGGCGCCGCCGGCGATGGTGGTGTGGAAGTTGCCGGCGGCGCCTGTGAGAGTATGGCAGCGGGTGAAGTGGGAGGTCGGGCATACGGTGAGGGGGGTAAGAGAGGCGGTGAAATATACTCAATTAGAAACGGTGCGGCGGCGACATTCGAATCTCCCCCCTCGTCCGCCGGCGCCGGCAGCTCCAGCGGCGGGGTCAGCAACGGCGCGCGGTCGGAGACCCACACGACGTTGTTCGTCATGCACACGCGCCCCGTCGCGAACTTGAGGACCTTGACCGCCGACTCGTGATGGTTGTCGCCGTTGTTGAGGTAGCAGCACAGCACTGCCTGGGGATCCATCTTCCTCGCGCGCGTCACACGCATATACCCCGGCTGCAAGAACGGGACGATCTGGAGCGGGGGCGGGCGACCGGTGAAGAGCTCGTGCGGCGACTTGTACCCGACGTTTGCCTTGGTCGGAGAACGGTTGAAGCCGCCGGCAGCCCAGTGACACGATTCTAGCCAGAGTCGCTCGCCATCGCGCCCGAAGCCGGGGACGCGGGTGAAGTCGATCTTGGGGAACAGGCGGGGTGCCTCGAGACGAGCGGCGTGGCCGGCCTTGTTCACGCGCCAGATCGCACTCTCCGCCGGACCATTCTGCTGCGGGGTGCCCGGCGCCGTGTACGTACGGCGGATGCCGGCGTTGTCACAGAAGGCGATGAAGTCGCGTCCGATGAACTCCCCCCCGTTGTCCATCCGGAAAGAGCGAGGGACACCGGTGCCACTCATGTCGGCGAGGAACTTCTTGACGAAGGCGAGGGTGTCCGACTTGCGCCTCATCCCGTACAGCTTCATCCACCGCGAGAAGCTGTCCACGAACATAATCATGAAAAACGAACCCCCCAGCGAGGCCGTCATCGGCCCACACAGATCGATGTGCCAAAGATCGTGCGGCCGCTCCGCGCGCGTGCCCAATTGGTGAGGCACGCCCGCCTTCTTCCCCTTCGCCTGCAGGCATCCACCACAAGGCTGCAGGACACCGGTCAGTCGGAGACCGTGCTGCTTCGCAAGCTCACGCAAAAGAAACTCATTGGCGTGGGAGGACGAAACATGGAGAAGGTTAACGTCAATAATCTTGGTGGGTTTCCCCACCGAAAAAGGGCGCTTGCCCGGGGCCATAACGGGAACGGCGAAAGCAACATCATCGAAGACATTGGCAAATCCAGACTCAAACATCAAGTCTAAAAACTCGTAGGGGTCATCCGATTCTTGTCTCTGTTCTAAGAGGTACAAAGCCCACTCGTAATCTCCCTGCTCTGTGAACGGAATAAACCCACGGTCATCATCCTCACTATTCTCTTGAAAAACGGTGACGTCCGGCGATGGCAACCCGGGAACAGCTACCAACTCCAAACCATGCGGCACTTGAGGAGCGGAGGGAAAAACCACACTCCTGTCAGCGGGGGAGGGGGCATACACTGTTGAAGGAACGACGCTGCTCGCAGCGGGCGGGATATTGTTCACAGACGATGGCACTACGCTGTTTGCAGCGGGCGGGAAACCATACACCGTGGAAGGTACTACGCCGGCTGCAGCGGGCGGAAAATTCGACACGGGGGCATATCTGTGGGCGGTGTCACCAGAATGTACTACGCTGTTGGGAGCGGGCGGGAAACCAGAGACGGGGGTCGGCACAACGCTCGTCGGAGCGGATGGAAGCACGACACTGCTGACAGTGGGCGGGAACCTAGACACCGTTGGAGGTACTACACTGCCGGCGCTGGCGACAGTGGGCGGGACACGAGAAAACGAGGAAGAGGGCATGTACGCTACACCTTGGGGAGAATGCTGCATGCGGGGGATTGCATGCATCGTTGCAACACCAGTCACACTCACAACGTCTGCAGAGCGAGGGGGAGGCGGAGGTAACGGTGTCACCACGGGCGCAGCAAGTGGCGTCGTGTAATCGGGCGGTAAACGAGTCGCTCTCAAGGAAGAACCACGCTCGCCACGGGGAAAAGTTAATCCACCGTTAAACAGGTGGATACCTATAGGATCCATCTTAATTCGTTGCCCTCCCATGGCCTTGTGGAGCGAAAACAAATTGTAACCCATTCCCTCAACGTGATGCACGTTGGTGAGCTTCACGCAAAAATCGCTTCCACCATTGTGGAACTTGACATTCAGGCTGCCGATACCAAGCACAGGCATCGTCCTACCATCTCCAATCACTACTCGCTCTCTACCAGGCGGAGGAATCACCACATCGTACATGCACCTCGGGTCACCTGTGGTGTGGTTCGTGGCGCCAGAGTCTGCAAGCCAAGTTTCATCTCCTACACTCTCGTCAAGGACGTTCATCATTGCATATCCGTCGTCCCTTCGCTCTACTAGCACACCATTCTCAGACTCACTTGGAAAAGCCCACACCACACACGCATGTAAATCCCCACCAGTCGATGGAGACGCTCCGGTCGAAGGCGCCGGAGGAGCGTACGGGTTGGAGATGGGCTGCTGCTGTTGCACGGGGGGGGGAAGGTACTCCGGCTGCTGCTGTTGGGGCGAGTAATGGTAAACGCCGCTCGCGTGCGTCACCGGATTTTGGTAAACGCCGCTCACGTGCGTCACCGCATGCGCCCCTGTAGATGGAGCTGTCGTCGCCACCGCCGTCGCTCCTGCTGCTCCTGGCGCTACCCCCGGGTAACCCTCTCCGCCGTATTGCTGCGCCGTATTTGCCTGCCCATACGAGTGTGCCCAAGGCGGCCGCTGGCTGTAACCACCGGCCGGCGGCCGGGGCGGCGGGTGCCTGGGCGGCGCGTTGCCTGCCGGCATGCCAGCTGGCCTTCCGACATCAACACGCGAAGGGCAGAACAGGTGGTTGTGGCCGAGTTCACCGCAGTTCTCACACCGCTTGCGAGGGTCATTCGGGTGGATGGGAGGTTCATTTCCCTGTGGGCGGTACATGTTGGGGGGGTAGGTGCTGTAGTCGTAGCCTTGCTGAGGTACAGGGTAGGCGGGGAGGTTGCTGCCGGGCGATCCCTGGTGAAAAGGGCCCCTGCCCCTCCCACCGGAAGCGGCGCCACGTCCCCCGAATCTTCCTCCTGCCGGCTGCTGCTGATGACGTCCTCCTCCAGAAAAGCCCCGGCCCCCATGCTGGGGCCCGTGCCTTCCGCCGTAGCTCGCACCTTGGCCGCCCGAGGGACCTCCCCAACCCCGCTGCAAGCGACATTCCTCGTTGCTGTGGGACGGGGAGTTGTGGAGGTCACTATATTTTATGACAGGCGGGTACGACGGCTAGTATTCCTGTTGCTGCTGGTTGAAGTACGGCTGATGCTGCTGCTGTGGCTGCTGNAACCTGTGTAGACATCATATTCGGGGAGGAGGTTGCGCACAAGATGTCTGTTAGCATCATCCTCTGTAATTGTCACTCCGCAAGATGATAGCCTTTGCCTCAGCACCCACCCTCTCGACAGGTACTCTTTCGGGTGTTGTTGAACCCCTTGCGTCAACTCCTGCCACTCTAGCTGGAGGCTCGTCTTTTCTGTGTGGGCATGCACTTGAAAATAATTTCGGAATATTCGCCATGACTCCGTTGGGCAACCACTAGAGATGATTGCTGGTACGATCGATGCAACTTCAACCTTTGCCAGTATTAACTGCCAGGCCTTCATGGCCTTTTCTACGGCCTTCCTACCATACTCCTCCTTCAGTTTGGGAATGTCTGCATCCGACTTCCCCGCCCTGATTGTCTCTTCTGATACTAATGCGCTCAGGCAATCTTCTTGTTGCAACAACATTCGAAATTGGCTCTCAAACACCTGTACTCTAACTTGAACATCACCGCTGGAATCTAACACACCCGTAAACGGGGCTACATGTATTACAGGGCTGACACGGATGGTAGCCTTAGGGGTTACGACTTCCCTGGTTTCCTCCCGCGGGGTGTTGGCCCTTCGCATTGCCCGTGCGAACGAATCAACGAGACGGTCCTCCAACGATCGTGGCTGGTCTTCAGGTTGCGGGTTCATCGCTGTTCCAGCCGGCCGAGCATGCAGGGGATCGCCTGAATCGGGGGGCATGTCCACGCCCTCTGAAGCGGGACGCTTTTCTTCTTGTTCTTTCATCTTCTGTTGTACTTTTTTCTCCACCTCCTCTTTGATGTGCGCCGCTAATGCTTGGCGATCCTCCTCAGTATAGCTGCTGAGATCGAGGGCTTCCTCCATAGTCTACTTCTCTAGCCGAACCCTTTAGTAGCTAACCTCACCTCGGGATCCCGCATGATATCAGCACGCTAGCGTGTTAGGATGATCCGAACTGGGGGTAGCTTGTCGCAAGACGTGTGTTGAATAGGGTGTCGGCAACTCGGCGAGCTCGCGCCAAGGAGGAAAGACGTGTAGGGTTTGTTGCATAAACTTCTTCTTCACATGAACTCACATGAACTTACATAAAACAC